GCTCACACACCCTCCTCTCTCCCTCTCTCAGTGCCGTCAGGTCACACGCCCTTCCCCTCTTCCTCCCTTAGTGCCGTCAGCTCACACGCCCTCCCCCTCCCTCTCTCAGTGCCGTCAGCTCACACGCCCTCCCCCTCCCTCTCTCAGTGCCGTCAGCTCACACGCCCTCCCCCTCCCTCTCTCACACGCCCTCCCCGTCTCCCTCCCTCAACACCTTCCATCCCTCAGGGTCCCATTCCCCTAAAACTTGTCCTTGCAACCAGGTCCTCCCACCTGAATTTACCCCCACCTGGACACTTCCCTAGTGCTTCCTTCTGCAAAGCTCTGTCCAGTGGAGCTGGAGCCTCCCCTCCACCAGGCGGCTGCCAGACCTGAGCTGCAGGAGCCACCTGGGAGCCACATCCACCTCAGTCCGCCGGCCCCACCCCCAGGCTCCTGCTGCAGCAGATGGGGCATGGCTGGGAACTTGCCTCTCCAGAGAGCCCAGAGGGGAACACAGCCATGGCTGGGCCAGCAGAGTGTGCCTGGCTCTGACCTCCCAGAAACTTTGTTCACACTCGGCTGACACCCTGCAGATTCAGCTGGGCAGCCCTTTCCCTCACATTCCCGTCCTCTCCCTCCCAGAGCATGTACCCGAGGGTAAAAATAGGTCCAACAGTCTCTGTCCCCCAAAGCTCCCCACAACCGCACCACAGGCCGCTCTGAACAATACAAAAAGCTGAGTAGGTGCTGAGCCAGGGGAATGCATTCCCACCTCCAAGCCCAGCACCTGTGATCCGGACTGCTGCCAATACCTGCTACTTTTGGGGACTTGGGAGGAGAAGAACACATTTTACAGAACTCAAGGAGAGATCGCCTATGGGCCTCACTGATTATTTTAGAGCCCTCCATTTCAAACAGACTCTGAGGAACCTGCACCTTTTTTTAGGGTACGAGAGTGCCGCCATTTCCATTGTAGTAATTCAGAATTCTCTTAAAACCCCACTCTGAATTACCAGGAGCTGTGTTCATCACGTCAGGGCCACTGAGGGGTCTACCACCATCAGCAAAACCCCCACCAAGGAACATAGGAGGGAGAAGCAGCCTCGGACTCCTGGGCCTGGGCGAGTGCCCCGTGCAGCACCACTCAGGGAGTGGAGTTAGTCACGAGCAGAGGGACCCTGGCGGTGCCTCCTCCAGGCTGGTTTTCCAATCCCGTAGCGGGTCCTAGGAGGCAGTGCTGGAAGCACGTTCTCCTCCCCTGCCCGCTGCGAGGACAGCGGCACCCCAGGGTGGCAGAGCGCACACATCCTTCCCTGACCTTGGTTTTCCTCTGGGATGGGGCTGGCCTCTGTGTCATTCAGGGTTCTGAGGTGAATGACACATGTGCAGTGCTGGCCTGGAGAGAGGTGCCACCCAGGACGGGCCATCAGGAGAGGCCGGGGATGGCCCCAGGTGTGGCTGGCAGAGGTGGGTGGTTCTCCCAGCCAGGGCTCCTGTGAGCTTCATGGGCAGCCTCTCAGTTAGGCTTGTCCTTCTTTCCTGTGGATTGCCTGAGACTCTCCTGTTCCCAAATGGTGATGCCTAGGTTTGCCAAGGGGAACTTGAGCGGCTCTCAAATAGGACTGGAGAGGCACCGATTTCTCATCACCTGAGCACACACAGCACGGCCAGGGCAGCTGTGGGAGTGAGGGCGCCCCCCGCTTCACTCTGCTTCATGTTATGGTGCTTCACAGACAGTTGATTCATGTTTGTGGCAACCCTGTGTTGAGCTTATCAGCACCATTTTCCAGCACCGTGAGCTCACTTTGGCGCCTCTGGGTCACATTTCAGTAATTCTCACAACATGAGCTCACGTCGTGTCTCCGCATCACATGTTGGTAATTCTCACAGTGTTTCAGACTTTTTCACGGTTCTCGTGTGATGGCAGTCTGTGATCGGTGACCGTTGGTGTGACTGTTGCCATTGTTTCAGAGCACCCCTATGAGAGTGAAGCTCATCGATACATGTGTGCCTGCCCCAGCAACAGGCCATTCCCCTGTCTCACTGCCTCTCCTCAGCCCTCCTCTCCCCTGAGCCATCGGCGGCTACTCCGGTGGGGCAGTGGGAACTGGCCGCCATGGGGCTGGGCTGACGGGGGTGCTGCCCTCCTTGCAGGGCCTTGGGCGTCTCCGTAACGGACTACACGTTCGAGGACTGCCAGCTGGCCCTGGCGGAAGGACAGCTCCGTCTCCCTGCTGACACTTGCCTTTTAGAATTTGCCAGGCTCGTGCGGGGCCTCGGGTGAGTACCTGGTTCTCCTTACCTGAGCGTTAGCTAGAACCCGTGCTGCCAAGGCCGGCGGGGGCTCCCTGGGGTTGCAGGGCGCGGAGCTAAGGAAGTAATTATTAATGATGTTTATTCTGGCGTTTGCTTGGCTTTTTTCAAACATCAACTTCAGCCTACATAGTGTCTTTAAATCCCTTAGTGCCTGGCACCAGCTGTCTGTGTGGGTGGCACCCCAGGAGGGCCACCCTGTGTCCTGCGAGACCCGCCCTGGGGAAGGGAACGGGTCTCAGGGGCACAGGCACCTGGCTTGACACTTGGACAGAACACATCTCACACCTTCCAGTTAGGAGAATGCCTTTTCTTGAAAACTAACTTGCTGCTACTTCTGTAAATAATTCTAATATTTTGATGCGTCTGACAACTAAATCTAGTGTTAGCGTGCGCCGTTTTATTGAGAAAGAAAGCTGTCCCTCTCTTTTTGTCTAGGCTAAAACCGGAAAAACTTGAAAAAGATCTGGACAAATACTCAGAAAGTGCCAGGAAGAAGGGAGGAGAGAAGATGGGTATTGCGGAGTTTGCGGCCTCCCTGGAAGTCCCTGTTTCTGACTTGCTGGAAGACATGTTTTCACTGTTCGACGAGGTAGGGGCTGTCGCCTGAGGAGCGGGGTCTCCGCAAAACCTCCTGCTTTTTGAAGTATAGATTGTTCTCATTCTAATATAAATATATTTTCACACGAATTTGAAAGCAGAGACGGGAAACCACCCCTCACTACCCCACCCTGTCATCGTGAGGGTGTTTCCTCCCGTGCTTTTAAATACATGTACACATTAGACGTTTAAATTGCCCTTTACTGATGAACGTGCCTGTGCTTTGGGGTTTTTTTTAGTCTGATTACGGAGTCTTAACAATATCAAATGGTGACGCCCAGCCTGGGGTCTCCAAAGGGAACCCCTGCAGGGCCCCTGCTCACCAGAGCTGCTCTTTGCAGCGTCAGAATTTCTAGTAATGCGCCCGTCCTCTATGATGGGCTTGGAGGCCCCCCGCCAGCCTGTGGGTGTGGGAGGGCTTCCTCCTGGCGCAGCCGCCCACTCCCCTCCGCCCTCCACACGTCATCCCCAGGTCCTCGTCGTAACTGATGAGGCATCCATGGTCATGCCAGCTGGGCCTGAACATGTGGGCAGCCTTGGGGTTTTCGGAAGGTGCGAGGCGGTATGCAGGGGCGGGACAGGCTGCCACGGCGAGCCACAGGTCGGCCAATCCTGGTCTTTTCTGGGTGTCAGTGTCACAGCATGGACACTTACGCTGTGGTCCTAGAGGAGCCGGTGACACGCCAGGTATGTGTAGAGGGCTCCTTCAGCCTTGACTGTCCCGCTACAGCATCGTGGGATTCCCCATGTGACAGTGCGATATGTGCTTTGCACCAACACGGAGCAGCTGTAGTGCTGCCCTGGGTGGAGCCTGGGCAGGCAGGAGGCCTCTCTGGCCAGAGAGCCGGTGAGGAGCACTCAGGGCAGAGGGACTCTGGCCAGAGAGCAGGAGGTGAGGAGCACCCAGAGGCAAAGGAAGGACTCCCTGGTTGGAGAGAGCAGGAGAAGATGAGGAGCACCCAGGACAGGAAGGAGGCCGCCCCGCGCGTGTGCAGAGCGTGAACCAAGGATCACAGTGCGTGGCTCGGGGCGTTCTCCCACACGCACCACGGGGCCCCAGCCACGGGCCTCTGCTACGGGGCAGCTGGAAATGGCATCTCGGATGCGAGGCCTGCCTGGTGTCCGTGCAGCTGCGGCTGCGTTTGCACCCAGGGCTTTACCACGGTGTTGGAACTGAAATGCGAAATAGTGAATGCTGGTTTCACAGGCAGCATTCCGAGGTCACTTATGACACTGTGCGGTTAATTTTTTATTTTCTGCAATTGCAAATGCGCATGATCTTACGAGGTAGGAATATTCTCCGTTTATACCCAGGACCTCAGACCCCCAGCCTGAGACCTTCCCGGAGCCAGGGACTTGTCGTCGTTTCCACCTGCCAGATACCCAAGCCCCAGTCCCGGTGCCCCATGCCTTGCAAGGGGTGTGGCGTAGCGCAGAGAAAGCTGTCAGTTCCCTCAGAAGACCCTCAGGGACCTGTGTGCGCCTCACCCCTAGCACCTACGGCCTGTGTTTGACACAAGCGTAGAGGGGCAACTGCTGGTCAAAGTCCTCCCTCGGCTCCTGGGTGCTCCTCACCCCCGGCTCACTGACCAGGGCGTCCTCCCTCTGCCCTGAGTGCTCCTCACCTCACCTCCTCTTGCTCTGACCAGAGTCCTCCCTCTGCTCTTGGGTGCTCCTCACCTACTGTCTGGCCAGAGAGTCCTCCCCCTATCCTGGGTGCTCATCACCTCCTACTCTCTGACCAGAGCATCCTCCCTCTGCCCCAGGTGCTCCTCACGTCCTCCTCTCTGACCAGAGCGTCCTCCCTCTGCCCCAGGTGCTCCTCATGTCCTGCTCTCTGACTAGAGTCCTCTCTCTGCTCCTGAGTGCTCCTCACCTCCTGCTCTCTGGCCAGAGTCCTCCCCCTGTCCTGGGTACTCCTCACCTCCTGCTCTCTGGCCAAAATCCTTCACCTGTCCTGGTGCTCCTTATCTTCTCTTGCTCTCTCCAACAAGGGAGTCCTTCCTTTGCCTCTGGGTGCTCCTCACCTGCTCTTGGCCACAGTCCTCCCCCTATCCTGGGTGCTCCCCACCTTGTTTTCTCCAACCTGAGAGTCCTCCCTCTATCCCTGGATTCTCCTCCTGCTCCTCCTGCTGTCCTCCTGGAACCTCCTCCTGCTCTATGACCAGGGAGTCCTCCCTACACTCCTGGTTGCCCTTCATCTCCTGCTCTCTGAACAGAGTCCTCCCCCTGTCCAGGGTGCTCCTCACCTCCTCCAGCCCTGACCTGGGAGGTTCTTTCCTGTGGCCTGGGCACACCCTGCAGCCACGTGCAGATCGTCCCCATCATCATCAGAAGTGCAGACCCTGTCAGCCCTGACCTGTGCCTCTTACCACCCTGCTCACTCACAGCATGTCCCTGGAGACGCTGGGTGTGAGGAGTTACTGAGAATGGTCAGCGCGGGGCTGACTGGCTTCCACAGCTGGCCCGAGCTGCGCGTTTAGCTCCACCTCACAGCTCGGGGTTCACCACCTTTCTGCAGGATGGATGGGTTGCCATAAACAGACTAAATTCCTAGAGCCCAGAAGCAGCCTTGGTGCTTGTGGGGTTTTCTCAAATGCAAGTCTCGGCAGGTGGCAGGCACTGCATTGCGTGTGCTTTGCTGAGGTGCTTCCTGTGGCAGCCTTGTGAACTCTGGGAATTCATTGTAATGGCCCCAAAAAGTGTACACAGCACAGTGACCTTGGAGAACCCACTTGGTGGAATGTCCTTCCAAGATTCCCTTTTCACGTGGGCAGACGTTCCCGAGTGAGAGCGGGACTGGCCCTTAGTTAACACCAGAAGCCGTGGGAAGCCCTGGCATTTCTCCAGTGCCAAAGGCGGCAGCCAAGCTGTGGCTGAGAGCGTCTCCCTCCACAGAGCGGCAGCGGCCAGGTGGACCTGCGAGAGTGCGTGGTTGCCCTGTCTGTGGTCTGCCGGCCGGCCCGGACCCTGGACACCATCCAGCTGGCTTTCAAGGTGAGTGCACAGTTCACATGGATTTGACTGGGGGTAGATCGGTGCAGTCACGTCAGCACCACTGTTCATTTCTCTAGTTCCTTATAATATCAGTTAATTGATCATTTGCCCAACTGCTATTTTTACATAAGCTTTTTATGCTAGCTGTTGTTTGTAAAATGCCCAAAAAAACCTCCCAGATTTATTTCTTGCTGGAATTAGCAATCCACACTCATCAGAAAGGCATGGGTGAGGTTCTTCCTGGGTCCTGGGGCACCTGGGTGGGGCTGGTGGTGTCACACCCCATCACACACTGCAAGGCACCTAACACAGGGGCCACACGCCTCGTCCTCTCTCCCCCTCGGACTGTGGACTGGTGAAGAAAGCATGGCTTAGGAGCTGCCCGCCTCGGCTCACCCCAGGGGCTACATGTCAGAGCCCAGTCATTCACCACTGGCAGAGTCTGGGGTCCCAGCCCAGCTGCAGACTCCTGGGAAGCCGTTAGGACTTGCCTCACCGCAGGGGGTGGGGGAAGGGAGTCGCTGCTCCCTGGGGGCTGAGTGGGGTCTGGGTCAGGCCTGGAGGGCGGGAGGCTAAGTAACCCTGAGGGTTTGGCCTGGCCTATGCTGAGGCTCCAGCAGCACCAATGTGGATTTCATCTGGGATAGAGCGGGGCCGGCTTTTCCTGTACAGAGGCACAGTTTTACCAAGGTTCTCACAGGGTGTGACTCACATCAGCCAGACTCTCGAAGGCCTGATGTGTGAGTCAGGAAGCTGCTTGTCTCTCACTGCTCCAAGAACTCCCTTCTCTCGCTTCTGACGCCAGCACACCCTCTCCATAGCAACACTGGGGAATGTCCCCACATGCAAAGGTGGCTTGTGGGGGTCACCCCAGGCAGGATGAACTGGATGACCTCCACATTTGGCGGCCCTGTGTAAGAAAGCCCGGCCTCCCCGCCTCCTCCAGGCCTAGGCAGCCTGCGTCCTAGGGCCCCTGGTCTCAGCCAGGCCCTGTGGCCTCACGGCCCCCGCTGGCCCTGCTTTTAGCGTGCCCTGGTTTTTTGTTTTTTTTAATTTTTTTGAGACGGAGTCTCACTCTGTTGTCCAGGCTGGAGTGCAGTGGTACAGTCTTGGCTCACTGCAACCAACCTCTGCCTCCCAGGTTCAAGCGATCCTCATGCCTCAGCCTCCCAAGAAGCTGGGATTACAGGCTCATGCCACGACACCCGGCTAATTTTTGTAATTTTAGAAGAGACAGGGTTTCACCATGTTGGCCGGGCTGGTCTCAAACTCCTGGCCTCAAGGGATCCGCCCACCTTGGCCTCCCAAAGTGCTGGGATTACAGGCATGAGCCACCGCCCCCCATTCTGCTGGCCCCACCAGCCCCTGCTCTAAAGCTACAAGTATAATCTGGAACCGAATGATAGCAGCGGTGGGGGTGGCATTGCCTTGTTTCTCAACATAAACAGTGGGCTGTGGAGCCCGACCGTCCCCCCGCAGAGGCCCCGCCTGCAGGTGGGCAGGGTAACTGGCTGTGGTAGGGTTGAGGACGCCTGCCGGGGAGGACAGTGTGCATGGGGTCCCTGCTTGGGGTGGGCTGGGAGGTCTTTCTCAGGTGAACCAGGCGATGGGTGAGGCCCAGGCTGCCCTACAGTGACCCCTAGGGGCAGGATGGGTGATCCCGTCTCACAGGCTTCCAGGCCGGCTGATGTGGCTGCGTCTGCGTCCTGGCGACGACGCCTGGGTCCCGCCTCACCTCCACCCTCAGCAGCTCTGCCCTGACAGGAGATGCCCTGGCGCTCTTCAGCTTACCTGCCTTCCTCCCACCTTCTTGCGGGCTGCCTCCCCGTGTCCCTTTCTGCAGCCTACACCTTCCATGGCGTCATTTCCTGATGTCATGGCCACTGTGCTTTTCTGCTGCCCTGGGAGCCTGGCACATTCTAGGGGGGCTGCGTGTAGCAGGAAGGGCTTCCACGGAGCAGTCCCGTGTGAGAGAGCATGGCAGCTGCACCAGCGTGCTGCCCTTGGGACATACAGATGCAGGACGCTGCCTCCCAGGCTGACTGTGGCCACAGAACTCCTAGCACCTAGGACCCCAGAGGCACATGCCAGTGCTCAACTTTCCAGATGTGCAACGCACAGACGTGCTTCATACGCCTTGGGGCCCTTTGTTTTTGTTCTTTTTCGTTATTATTACTGTGTAAACCCTGAAGATGTCCTGGTAAAAATTGCAGCGGCTCAGAGAATGGACAGTGAGAACCTGAAGTCTGTGGCCCGTAGTAGCCTCGGTCCTACCTCTGCATTTCCCGTGCAGCATCTTCACCAGGCTGAAGGATGAAAGTCCGCACCTGCAGTTCTCATGTCCAAACGGACACCGATGTCAGGTCGTCCCCTCTGAAGCAGCCTGGCAGCCACTGGGGGGCAGGAGGCACTGCTCCTTGGGGGCTGAGTGGGATCCGGGTTGGTCGAGGAGCTGGAGGCCGTGGCCCTGAGGGTTTGACCGGGCCTGTGCTGAGGCTCTAGCAGCACCAACGTGGATTTTGTCTGCAGATGTTTGATTCAGGAAATCTAAAAGCAGGAGAGAAACGTAGACCACAGAAGACAGGGTGGCCGCGTGCACCAGCGCTGTGGGATGAGGCCCAGGGGAGGAGGGTGGAGGGTGAGGATGGGGCCCCCAGAGCTTGCGACAGTAGGCTGCGGGAGTAGAGGCAGAGCCTCGGGAAGAGGGTGTGATCCCTGGGACAGCTTGCCAGGCCAGCGGGCTGGAGGCGTCAGCGTTTCTTCCCTGAGCACCCCGAGGAGGAGCCGGGTGAGGTGAACGCGCAGCCCCTCCTTGAAGAGAGGGCAACGCCCCTCACGTGCAGCCGGCTTCTCGGAGCCTGGAGTGAACGCTCACAAGATCACAGCGCACTGGAGCAGGAGAAGGGGAGGAGGGGCTCGGAGTCAGGGCGACGGCCCTGCCGGGAGTCCCGGGAACCGCAGGCACCAAGAAAAGACGGCGGCCGAGGATACAGCACCACGAAGAAGACGACGGGCAGCAACCACCAAGAAGAACAACCCCACCAGAAGAAGCAGCAAGGAGGCCGACGAAGCACACCAGGGGGAGCAGAAGAACAACACGGCGGCAGCAGCAGAGAAGAAGAAGCTGCCACAGAGCCCGTGGGCCAGGCTCGAGCCTCAAGGGCTGGGGCAGGACCCTGCACCCCACAGGGAGCTGAAGTGTTTCCGAGGAGACAGAGGGACGGGCAGGCCCTGAACAAGGGGTCTGGGGGATCCCCAGGTCACAGGGTCCGTATGAAGCCAGGAGGGGAGCGCCGTGGAGCTGTGGGGCGCGGGCGGCAGGTGCACAGAGAGGGCCGGAGCCTCCGCCTCCACAGCTGGAGCAGGAGGAAGAGAGGAGGCCTCACGTGTGAGGCTCAGGAGAGAGCCCAGTCCTGGCTTCCGCTCCCCCCTGGGGCCCTCCCAGGTCCTTCTCATTTCTGCTCCTGATCTGCCCTGTCGATTTCTAACCATCGGGGCTTTTTAAATGTTATTACTGAGGCTTGTGAACACCTCCGCTGTAGCCTGCACTTACGCAGGCAGAGGGCCGTGGGGAGACTCTGGAGCCCAGGCTTGCGCCGCGCTCGCCCATGGCCCAGGCAGGTCCCTTCTGCGGCCTCCAAATGGCAGCCACAGGTGCGGGTTGCTTTGCTGAGCTATCACGGGTGGGGTGGGCAGCGTCTGAGTCCTTGCCCGAGAAGCATCTGCTGTGTGTCCACAAGGCACCTGGAGGGGCCAGATCCAAGGCACAGGGCCCTGCCGCGTGGCTCCACACGGAAGCTCAAGTCCCCCGTGTCCAGCCGCCAACCCTGCAGGTGCCCAGCAGTTCTGAGAAAGCGGGGCAGGGCCGCTGGGGTGTCCCTGGACAGTGGGGCCTGGTGGGCAGGGGAGGAGGCCGCAAGGTGACACCCAGCTTGCCTTGCAGATGTATGGAGCGCAGGAGGATGGCAGCGTCGGCGAAGGTGACCTGTCCTGCATCCTCAAGACGGCCCTGGGGGTGGCAGAGCTCACCGTGACCGACCTGTTCCGAGCCATTGACCAAGAGGAGAAGGGGAAGATCACATTCGGTGAGCCGGCAGGAGTGGGGTCGTGCTCGCGGCCCCTGGGCAGGGGCCAGGCAGTGTGGGGCGAGTCTCCGTGGGAGTCCAGGACGGGAGTGGAGTCCTTGCCATGCCTCCATTCACCAGGCTGCCCTGTGTATCACAGAAACCCCTGAGAAGGAAGGTTCTGGAGACCCGGCATGGTTCGTAGGGAGCTTTCCAGTCTGATTTGTTTTGGTGATTTATACAACCAAACTCCAAGCCCAGTTCCGAAGCTCTGAGCCTTCCGTGGCCTCAGGCTGGGATCCAGGTGCCTGGAGGTGGGGGATACCCGCACCCAGCCCTCGAGGCCACTGGCTGTGGCCTTTGTCACTGCCGGCCGGGGAGGGGTCTGTCAGGAGAGACGAGGAGGGGCACCGCTGACCACCGTGCCGCCCAGGGCGACTTCCTCCCGAGAAAACTCACCTGTCTGGACGTCTGATGAAGTGACTGGTAACACCGCGGTTTCCAGAGCACGAGCTATCGGTGGCTGGGAAATGGCGGTTGATATTTTTAAATTGCTGTGCAAAATCCGCAAACCCGAGCCCGGGGCGCCTCCCTCTCCTGCAGTGTGAATGAGCCACGCTGCATCCACC